GTGTCATATATATCTCATGCATGTTGGCCGTCAGTGCATGACAGTAATAATAAATGACAAAACATTTGTTACTAGTCAATGGATTTATTATTTTATTAATTTTTTTTTTTTTTTTTTTTTTATTTTTATTTATTTTTAAATTTTATAATTTCTAGTAATGTATTTACAAGCCGCTTTTATTAATGTATGACTTTTTAACATTTTCTAGTATTTTTTGATTCCTTTTATGTACATTCTATATGGTTCTTTGTAAACTTGTTGATTATGTACTGTATTTGATTGACACCCAGGCCCCTCCTCCCTGCCTAGGACAGCCCAACCCATAGGGGAGGGCCCTATTTCAGTCTGGAGACATAAATGGGAACACACACTCTCAGTCCAGCCAGCTCTGAGGAAGAAGGCATGTCCTTCGAAATGCGTCAGCTGTACTGAGTGGCTTCCTCCATGATGGGATTCGCATTGGCATCTTGCCTCTAAAGTCCCTTTGAGGACTTACATGCTTGTTTTTATTCGCTGTTTGTGAGTACCATTCTTTTATTTAATAAATTTTGGTTACTGAGGTAATGCGCAAGGTTGGTGCGCTTCTCTTTTGTTGTTCTTCTTCACTGTGAATTGTTTTGCACAGAGCATACCCGATCCTCCTCTTCTCGGGGCCCCCCACCTTCACCAAGTGCCCAGCATAGCAAGCTGCTTGTTATGGGGCACTCTCGGATACTCGCTCCCAAGCCTGCTCTGTGTGTCCAAGAGACACACATAGCGCAGCTTGGCCCTGCCCACTCCTAACTGACTGTGATTGACAGCAGCAAGAGCCCTTGGCTCCCGCTGCTGTGTCTGAGCCAATGAGGAGGGACAGAACCAAGAGAGGCTCTGCTCTCGTGCATATTGATGGATCAAGATCAGGCTTCATGGAATTCATAGAATACATGAATACATGAGTCCCAGTGAACTCATAGAATACATGAAAGTAAAAAACCTTTACAACCACTTTAAGGAGACTGTATCAGTAAGATTGAGACTCCTAGTCCTGCCCAAGAACATACACTATAAGGTGCTTGCTGTTGTTTTATAGGCCAGAGAAGCCTCTTTTGTGTCCCTCTCTGGTTCTCTAGTTTAATTTCATGTAATGCTATCTTTAACAGCCAATGAAGCTGCCATCTCAGCCTCTGTTTGATCTGCAGTAGCCATGTGCTCATATGAGTTATTACACCAGCCATTTGATGGCTTGACAGTTCGGTTAAGAGCAGGGGCGGACTGACCATTTGGAAACTCGGGCACTGCCCGAGGGCCCAGGGTCAGTAGGGGGCCCCATGAGATGCCCTTGGTACCTTTTTCATAGGCTTTTTTGAGTTTGGGCAAGGACACAGGGGCCCCATGATCCCCTATTGCCCGGGGGCCCCATGAGTTCTCAGTCCACCCCTAGTTAAGAGCACAAACAACTGACAGTTATCATTCATGATTGTAACTATTTTGGGAAACAGTTAAATTGATAGATTTAATTCCGCTTTAATGTCAAAACCTAACTTGCCCTTAGCGCATTGATAAGACCTACTAGCTGCCATCTCCTTGTCCGATGGTAGCACCATTACTAGCCATTAGGGCAGTTCCATTGATCAGGAAAGCGGTAGTAGGCAGGGTTTAGCCATGGACTCATAGAAGCTTTTTTGGCTAATAAATGCAATGGCAGGCATCTTTTGTTCCCTGCTCTTAAGCTCTTCAAGGCTGACATTCACATGCTGCTGTAAACATCCCCACTTTTTTCTCTGTTGTACAATAAAACACCAACTTAAGCACAAGATCCATCACGAGCAGCATTTTTTTTATTACCAAAGTACAAAAAAACACAGTATTCTCTTATGGCTTTAGAAATACATCTATTACTTGTAAAATTTCAACCTTCCTTCTTTGGCTAAAATTGCTAGAAGCTCAGACTCAAACTCAGCACTGTGCACCCCGGTCCAGCGGAAAGCCCCTGGAAATTTGTTCTTTTCCCAGTAGTGGTGCCAGTTTCCATTCCTGTCTGCGCCAAAACCGAACACTGATATCTAAGGAGGAAGAAGAAAGAAGATAACAAATAGCTCAAGACCAAGACACAGTCAAACAACAACTGCAAGAATTGTGATCTCAGCTTCCTATTGTCTTAACTTGTGATCTTTACATTCATTTTATATTGATACCAATACTGTACCTGTGACTCAGGGTACTCAGAATATCACGAGATAACTGGATAATGTGACACATTTTTTCCAGTTATCTCATGCGATATTCAAAATGTCAATTCACAGTCAGTTTATGCGGTATTTACCGCACAAGTAAAAAATGCGCTGTAAATACCGCATTACACTGACTCTAAAGTCAATTCACAAAGCTAAATGTATTTATTTATTTCAGGTACTTATATAGCGCCATCAATTTATACAGTGCTTTACATATATATTGTACATTTACATCAGTCCCTAGCCTTCAAGGGGTGTACAATCTAAGGTAAATAACTACATTTAAGTCGTGGTCTAGCCACGTGTTATTCAAACAACTAAATAGCGCTGCTCGTTAAGAAGAATAAAAATAAGAAAACAATTTGTGGTCCCCCTCCCAGACCACACCAAACCCGTTGTGAAATGTAAAAAAAACACAGGAGGCAGTTTGTAACAAGCCGTTGATTAAAAAACAAACATTTAAAAAAATGTACCTCTGGTGTAGATCCATCGTCAATCATGATGCCCACTGCCACCACCAACCAGAAAAAAAAGGAAAAAAAAGAGGCCACCACCTTGTGTTTGTGACATAATAGACTGGGGCATGCTGGGTGATATGGGGAAGAGTCCCTTGTTTCCAATATGGGGTCAAAGGTGCTTTTGGCCACCCCAAAGCACCTCCCCATGTTGAGGGCATGTGGCCTGGTATGGTTCAGGAGGGGTGGGGGGTACTGGCTCGGCTCCCCCATTCTTGACCTGCTGAGCTGCATGCTCAGATAAGGGTCTGATATGGATTTTGGGGGAATCCCACCATTTTTTTTTTATTTTGGTGTGAGAGTTCCCCTCAAAATCCACACAAGACCTGCAGGGCCTGGTATGGATTGGGGGGGAGCACGCCTTTTTTTCTTAATTTTTAATTGCCGGCAATTCTTATTTTTACATTCAGCTGTCAGTGGGAAACCCGCTGACAGCTGGTGACTCGTTACCACGTTTTCACTTCTAAAATACCACATGACTTCATAAAATAACTCACGCAGTATTTTAGTAGCATTTTTTAGTGAATGCCAACAAAGTTTTTGTGTGGTATCTTACTGCATACTTGGATGTGGTAAGATACTGCTTTGTGAATTGTTCCATCAGATTCTTGTAAAACAAAGAATGTAATAAACTGTAAATAAGCAAAGATTGAAGAGTCAGTAAACTGTTTTTCGGTTTTATTAATGATAGCATCTTCATTCCATTGCAATCTTCTTAAACACATAGGAATCCAAGGGGTGTGCTTCTCCTTGTTATTGAAGTCCCACCTCTATACTTGACATCCCTAAATAAACACCACCAAACCATGGTGTAATCCTGCCAATGCTACATTCTCTATTTATTCTGTATGCAGAAGGAGGTGTGTAGCATCATGCAGAAGGACCAAGAATGCAAACTTCATACTACAGTGCCTTGAAAAAGTAATCATAGAAATGTTCCACATTTGGTCATGTTGCAACCAAAAACGTAAATGTATTTTATTGGGATTTTATGTGATAGACCAACACAAAGTGGCACATAATTGTGAATTCGAAGAAAAATGATAAATGGTTTTCAAAACGTTTTACAAATAAATATCTGAAAAGTGTGGCATGCATTTGTATTCAACCCAGGGGCGGACTGACAACTCATGGGGCCTCCGGGCAATAGGGGATCATGGGGCCCCTGTATCCTTGCCCAAACTCAAAAAAGCCTATGAAAAAGGTACCAGGGGCATCTCATGGGGCCCCCTACTGACCCCAGGCCCTCGGGCAGTGCCTGAGTTTCCAAATGGTCAGTCCGCCCCTGATTCAACCCCCTTTACTCTGATACCCCTAACTAAAATCTAGTGGAACCAATTGCCTTCAGGACTCACCTAACTAGTAAATAGAGTCCACCTGTGTGTAATTTAATCCCAGTATAAATACAGCTGTTCTGTGAAGCCCTCTGAGGTTTGTTAGAGAACATTAGAACGTCCATGTCTCCATGCTTTATTTTGCTGAGAAATCATTTTGAACCCCCCCCCCCCCCCTAGCATTTCTGGCTCTGGCCATCTTGATTAGGGGCAGATGATTCATGTAGCATTTACTTTTGGGAATCCATATGCCCTTAACTCAAGCATTGGCTGAGTTGGGAACCCTCCCCTCCTGAAGACAAGTAAATATGATATGCATTCCTATATATTTACTAATGCTAGCAGTGTAAGGATTCAAATAGTCATTGTTGATTGAGAGAGTGAAGTTCCACTTTAATTCCCAGTGAACTCAGTAATCAGCACTCTTAGATCTGGTCAAACATGCCCACCACTTCTGCAATACATGTTTGTGTGTGGACACTTGTGACAGTTCACTCTGCCAGCACAGAACATAGTCACCAATCATACCATTCAGGGGTAAAGAACTATAAAGAGATAAATAGGTGTGAACAGGGGCGGACTGACAACTCATGGGGCCCCCAGGCAATAGGGGATCATGGGACCCCTGTGTTCTTGCCCAAACTCAAAAAAGCCTATGAAAAAGGTACCAGGGGCATCTCATGGGGCCCTCGGGCAGTGCCCGAGTTTCCAAATGGTCAGTCCGCCCCTGGGTGTGAACATTCAATAAGCCATTAAGATGTAGAATACCTGTAGAGTGTTTTTACACCCTAAATAATTATGTCATTGAACATACTCACTTCATCACAAATATGAAGCGCAAAGAAGACAGCCAGCATTCCAGTAGATGGATACCTTCCATGATGATTTGTCCAGTTATCATGGATGTATTTGAAAAAAGCTGGATTAAAGATTAATACCTAAAAATAGATAATACACTGATTTTTAACACAGAAGTTATTATATAACAAGCATTTAAAGTGGTTGTAAACCTCTGACATAAAATATTATTATATGATTATTATTATACAGGATTTATATAGCGCCAACAGTTTGCGCAGCATGAACAAAGCATATACATCTATAGTGTGTACTTGTCTTAATCCAATTCACTGAGTGTCATTTCTGCCTGCTGTCTTGTTCCTCTGCTATTTGCATTCACTTGCAGTCACTTCAGACAAATTTTCCTGACACTAAGAGAAAAAAGGTGACAGGGGAGGGAGCTACAGCACTCTGTGGTTAACTGCCTCAGCTCTGTTCCTGTGCGCTTTGTGAAATGGGGTGTGTCTTTTCCCTCCGATCAGCTCTCACTGAGCTCTGCAGTGTGTAACATCAGTTCCCCACCCCCTTCTTTCTGAAAGCTCAGACAAGCTGTAGATGAGAGAGGACTGCAGATAAACAGGTATAACATATGCTGGAGGATTTGTTTCATCTCTGTGTATCACCTGAGCCCAGTCACGTCAATGGGTATATGTAAGGGTTTACAACCACTTTAAGTGTAAAATATCTATTCTATTTTCCTATATTTCCCTGAGCAAAAAGTGATGTAAAATCAGTGGACAGATTGTGCACTTTGCAAGTGCAGTTGCTCCAGAGCTTAGTAAATGATGAGCAATCATATGCAAGAAAACATGTTGTTTATTTGTATTTTCTTTGGATGTGATTGGATATTCTTTGCAAAGTGAAGCTTTGCCTCATTTACTGAGCTCTGGAGCAAAGTGCACAGTCTATTTATCTTTAGTTAACCAACCTCTTTGTTTCACTCCGGACATTTGTCTACATTGCAATCTGGATCAAAAAGTCAGCTGAATTTTATAATCCTGAGAAAGTAGAGTGTGGTACTTTTAAGGCGATTTTTGTGCCCCCAGGAAACTAATGTAACAACACAACTATATATTCAATTATCAAATTTCATTGGATAATATAAAATATCTGTAAAGAACAGAACCCTCCCATAAAAACAATTAATGGCATAGACCCCTCAATACAGTGAACCCCAAATATACCTTCCTTAATACAAGTTGATACATATGACATAAATTCGTTATAATAAATGTCGATGGATGAAGACAGGAAGGTAAAGTAATGGTATCCCAATGCGTTTTGCCAAATAGGCTTCTTCAGGGGTTCAAAAGAAGGGAAAACACTCAATGGACGGTGGTACTTGGGGAAATGACTGGCCCTCCAACAAGCCACAGCAAAGTATAGAGGAGTTTCTAAGCCTCAAAGGCTAATTGAAAAATAGGTATATTACAAAGTATCCTCTAATGTTAAGACTGTAAGGGTCCCAAGAGATCCATCCACATAAAGATGGAGACTGTTTGTGATGAGTCGGACCAGGGGTGGACTGACCATTTGGAAACTCGGGCACTGCCCGAGGGCCCGGGGTCAGTAGGGAGCCCCATGAGATGCCCCTGGTACCTTTTTCATAGGCTTTTTTGAGTTTGGGCAAGGACACAGGGGCCCCATGATCCCCTATTGCTCGGGGGCCCCATGAGTTGTCAGTCCGCCCCTGAACCGGACATATCTCTGTCTGTCTTTACATCTGTTTGTTCTAAAGGATCAGCAACACGTGGATGTATGGACATACACACATACTTTTTGATTGAATTACAAGTTGATGGTGATTCAGTAATTGCCTTCCTTCCATGCTGATCTGTCCTTCTGAGTTTTTTTTGTGTATTTCCATCTGGGTCCCTCTTACCTAAACCTCATCCATTTGTATCTAGTTCCTGCTCTTTGAGATCGGTCTCATAGTGGGTAATTTATTACAATTTCAACTCTGAGCTACTCTATAATTACAATATTTGAAACTATATGTGATAAATTACATATAAGATAAGTGTCATACGTATGTCTGCTGTGTATTTCATGGCTCCTTTTGTACTTGCAGTGTTCTCCCTTCTTTTGAACCCCTGGAGAAGTCTATTTGGCGAAACGCGTTGGAAAACAACTATACCTTCCTGTCTTCATCCATCGACATTTATTATAATACATTTATGTCATATGTATCAACTGGCAGGTGCATTTGGGGTTTACTGTACTGAGGAGTCATTAATGCCATTGTTTTTATGGGAGGGTTCTGTTCTTAACAGATATTTTATATTATCCAATAAAATGTGATATTTTTATATATAGTTATGTTGTTACCAGGGGCAGACTGACCATTTGGAAACTCGGGCGCTGCCCGAGGGCCCAGGGTCAGAAGAGGGCCCCCTGAGATGCCCCTGGTACCTTTTTCATAGGCTTTTTTGAGTTTGGGCAAGGACACAGGGGCCCCATGATCCCCTATTGCCCGGGGGCCCCATGAGTTGTCAGTCCGCCCCTGGTTGTTACATTCGTTTCCTGGGGATACGAAAGCACCTTAAAAGTCCCACACTCTTCATTACTTTTTTTTCATACAATATATTAGGGATGTGGAGCTGATGGATCAGTTTTACCAACTCTTAGATCATTTTCTGAATTTTATAATCCTGAATTTAGAGTTGAATTGAAGAACTAGTGACATTCAGCTGATCCATTTTCATGCACTTCTCATAATACCAGCATGGCGTTCGCCACTGCTGGAGCTGCAAACAAAATGTATATATGGCCATTGGGGATGAGTGAAAGCAAGAGCTTCTATTTCCCAGAAAATGTGGTCAAAAGCATGAGAGTTCAGTTACATTTAACCATTTGGGTGCAACCAATGAAGTCAATCAAATAGAGAAAATGTAAGTTGTTCTTGATTGTTTTAAAGGTCAAAATGGGCTTTAAATGATTCCTGTGGGTTATTAAAACTCTTTTCAACTATTCTGGACCTGTTCTTGCGCAGCCACCTTATTATTTTACATCTCTTTATACAAAACAAAATAAAAAAATTTGGGTATACAAATAATGGTAAAACAAAAAAAGAAGACACAAAAAAAAGAACAATAAATGAAATACATGGAGCTACCTTTAAAACACGCAAAGAAATAAAATTATCTATCAATTTTGCCATAACCACTCCACTTATACCTATGGCTACTGTCTTGTTTCTTAGTTCTTCAGTGCTCACCTTGTCCTTATCAGCTTGAATGTACTGCTTGACCCTTGTGTATGTACTGGAAGGAAAAAAAAAAATTATATGTCAGTGAATAATATCTCAAAAAGTAAACGGATTGTGAGTTCTGTTGTACTATTTACATAACTTTACAATTACTGTACACCTATAAGTATTTCCTTAAAAGTATGAAGACTCTATAATTTGTATTTTGAATTTTAAGAAGCACTGGAGAGACCTTCCTAATTAAATGAAACCTTTCCTCATAGAAACTCTGAAACTGACATCTGTCTTACGGACCATTTGACTCCAATACTTTGAGTTACAAACCTACAACAGGTATGCAGATAAGCACTACTAAAGTTTGTTCAACACACATATACACACACACACACTATATTGCCAAAAGTATTGGGGCGCCTGCCTTTCCACGCACATGAACTTTAATGGCATCCCAGTCTTAGTCCGTAGGGTTCAATATTGAGTTGGCCCCGCCCTTTGCGGCTATAACAACTTCAACTCTTCTGGGAAGGCCGTCCACAAGGTTTAGGAGGGTGTCTATGGGAATGTTTGACCATTCTTCCAGAAGCGCATTTGTGAGGTCAGGCACTGATGTCGGACGAGAAGGCCTGGCTTGCAGTCTCCGCTCTAATTCATCCCAAAGGTGTTCTATCAGGCTGAGGTCAGGACTCTGTGCAGGCCAGTGAAGTTCCTCCACCCCAAACCCACTCATCCATGTCTTTATGGACCTTGCTTTGTGCACTGGTGCGCAGTCATGTTGGAACAGGAAGGGGCCATCCCCAACTGTTCCCACAAAGTTGGGAGCATGAAATTGTCCAAAATGTCTTGGTATGCTGACACCTTAAGAGTTACCTTCACTGGAACTAGGGGGCCAAGCCCAATCCCTGAAAAACAACCCCACACCATAATCCCCCCTCCACCAAACTTTACACTTGGCACAATGCAGTTAAGGAAGTACCGTTCTCCTGGCAACCATCAAACCCAGACACATCTATTGGATTTCCAGACAGAGAAGCGTGATTTGTCACTCCAGAGAACAAGTCTCCACTGCTGTAGAGTCCAGTGGCGGCGTGCTTTACACCACTGCATCCAACACTTTGCATTGCACTTGGTGATGTAAGACTTGGATGCAGCTGCATGGCTTGGAAACCCATTCCATGAAGCTCTCTATGCACTGTTGTGCTAATCTGAAGGCCACACTGGGTTTGGAGGCCTTTAGCAATTGACTCTGCAGACAGCTGTTGATTTCTGCGCACTGTGCGCTTCAGCATGCACAGATCCTGCTCTGTTATTTTACGTGGCCTACTACTTCGTGGCTGAGTTGCTGTTGTTCCCAGTTGCTTCCAGTTTGTTACAATACCACTAACAGTTGACCGTGGAATATTTAGTAGCAAGGACATTTCACTAATGGACTTATTGCACAGGTGCAACCACGCTTGGATTCACTTAGCTCCTGAGAGCGACCCATTCTTTCATAAATGTTTGTAGAAGCAGTCTGCATGCCTAGGTGTGTGATTTTATATACCTGTGGCCATGGAGGTGATTGGAACACTTGAACACAATGATTTGGAGGGCTGGCCCAATACTTTTGCCAATATAGTGTGTATGTGTGCGTACACACACACACACACACACACACTATATGGCCAAAACCTTGTAATCACCTATCACCTGACCATCACAAATGTATGAGCTTGTTGGACACCTCATTCCTATATCATGGGCATTAATTCAGAGTTGGCTCCCAGTTTGTGACTTTTTTCACAAGAATCTGAAGTGTGCCTTTGGGAATTTGTGCCCATTCAGCCAAAAGAGCATTTGTGAGATCAGAAACTGAAGATGGACGAGAGAAGACCTGGCTCACAATTAGCATTTCAGTTCTTGCCAAAGGTGTTCAATAGGGTTAAGACCAGGGCTCTGTGCAGGTCATTTGAGATCCTCAACATGTCTTTATGAAGCTGGCTTTGAGCACAGGGGTATAGTCATTCTGTTACAGAGAAAGACCTTCATAAACAATGCCAAGAAATGCCATACGTTTGGTAAGTGTAATGATGAATGGTCAGGTATCCAGAAACATTTTGCCATGTAGTGCAGGAAAATAGTATAGAGTATATACATTTCTCCCTGATTCCAAATCTGTCCAACTATGTCCATATGTAGACAAAACCATGCTGTTTTTCCTCAAGCCCTGTCCGTTTGTAGACAGAAAATTAGAACTGATCTATCAAAAAACAAGAATGCATAATGCTAAGGTGACTGGATACGTACAACTTGATTTCTCCTGTGGAGAGAGCACTGGTTATCCACCTAAGATCCTGCAGTTTGAATGGCACCAGGACTAGATGGACTCCTTTTGAAAGGTGCATGGCACTTTCTGGATACATAAAATGATGAGTGGTTCTCAAGCCCACATCTTTTTCAAATCCGGAAGTGAGAGCTCTGTTCATTCTAAAAATGTAAAGAGAGATGATGGTTAGGAAAAGCATATTAACACTTCAGAGAAGGGATAAAACAGTGATGTCTATAGGCAAAAAACCTTTGGTGTGCCCAGCTCTACCTCAAATCAAAAATTGCTGCACATACAAATCAAAGGTATAGGTTTTGTTGGCAGACACAAAATATAAGCAACATATTTAGGGTGTTTTGGGCCCAGGAGTCTTAAACAGTAAACATCACATTAGCTGGCCGAACTCCCCAACCTTCTCTTTGAGCAATACTCTCAGGACACAGGTCCAGAACCAAAGTAGAAACTGTGCTGGCACCAGGTAGTGCGAACCCGCAACTATGTTCAAGAAGAGTGTTGTGTTATCTTTTCTGTTTGTCTATGTAGGCTTTAACATGAACTTCTACTCTTCCTATGCAGGATCACTTGTCCCCTTCTGCCTTTTCTGAAAGTACCAGGTGAAGGGAAGGATGTGATTTTATGGATCTTCAGGTATTTAGTGCTGTCCTATAAGGCTGAGTAGCGAGTCCTTAGTCTTGCATAAGCTCCAAGCTGTGAATTTAAAGCAAACCTGTCATTGAAAAAAATTATTACAGTGTATGTATAACTTAAACCTTTTAAGTTAAAGTAGGGAATAGTTTAGACTTCAGAGTTTTTTTGTTGTATGCCATTAAGAAGTTTTCTCATCAAGAGGATGTAAGAAAAAATCTCTCCAAAGTGAAGGGTAATTCCCTTTTAGACAGTTGTCACTAGAACAGGTGTCTCAGTGGTGTTCCCACCTCCTGTTCCTGTGACAACCTTAAAGCTGGGCACCCACAAGCCGAGAATTGTCCAAAAATGGTCAGTTTGGTAGGAGGAAGTGGAGGACTTTCAGCCCTTGTGTACAGCTCCTCATCTGACAGAATGGAGACAATAGTGACTAGGACAAATAGTGAGTTTGAATTCCCCCAGCATGAACACGAACAGCAATGAAAACCTAGCTTAAAAGTGTATCAGAGACTGCCTTTGTTCAGCAGTAAAACACCTACCAGGGGTTTTAAAACCTTTGGCTTTACATACACCTTAAATTAATAGTGCTTCCTAACAGCTGGTACCAGGAGATGCCTGGATATACAGTACTTCAATTTGTCAATCCAGAAAGTTGTAGGACCCTGGAATCATGCTTACATGGGCAGCACAGTAGCTAAATGGTTAGCACTTCCGCCTGGCAGTACTAGGGTCGCTGGTTCGAATCCCAACCACGGCACTACCTGCCTGGAGTTTGCATGTTCTCCCTGTGACTGCGTGGGTTTCCTCCCACACTCCAAAGACATGCTGGTAGGTTAATTGGATCCTGTTTAAATTGGCCCTGGTCTGTGTGCGAATGTGAGCTAGGGTCCTTAGATTGTACACCCCTTGAGGGTTTAGGGACTGATGTGAATGTACAATATATGTATGTAAAAGCACTGTGTAAATTGATGGCGCTATATAAGTACCTGAAATAAATACTTAGAATTTTGCTCTAATTCAGAGCTCTGGCATGCCCCACCCCTCCCACAAATCATCATTCCAGTACAGGTACCTATTTGTTGCCAACTGAGGCTCTGCATTTGATTGTGAGCCCTAGTTTATCTTAACCATGTGAATTCCCCATCTGGTTCCTGTTTTGGCTCAAAATGAGACTCCCTTGTGCTTTTGACCCCATGTACAGAAATCATAGATTGCATTGACAAACCTAGAAATTATTTTTTCATGTTTTCTACAGCTGTTGAAAGAAACAAATTGTTTAACACAATGACAGTCATGGAACTGACACTCTTCCTGTTTATTCCACCCACAGAAAAGTGCCTACTAAACATAAAGGAGACTTTATCTCTAGTTTCCTGTATGCTACCACAGATTACTGCAGCCATCTCCAATATGCAGTTCTCTAGCAAGTTTTTTCACAATTTCACAGTAACAATTTTCTTTAGAGTTTACAAAACCCTATTTTTTAAATGACATAAAACTTTAACAGCAGGTTTCTGATGAGAAGTCTTCATGGACTCAAAAAAGCATGTATTTGCAATGTTAGTTTTGAGAGAAAAAGATATTTCTTGGACAGACACAAAAATATTGCACACAATTAACAATGTTATTCTTCATTTTATGTAATTTTTCCTCCTCCGACATCTGGTGACCATTCAGGAAGGGTGCGCCCTGCTGTGAAATATAAAAACTCTTTCTATAATTAACATTTGGATTTCAGTAGACAACCATAATTATAGAGATGGCCAAGTTTGTAGGAGGCGGTTACAGCTTTTACCAATGCCAAGTGTAATGCTTGTTCTTTAAAAAATGGAAAGAGGATATATCTGGCATCACCTTTAGCAGCTCTCACTCCCTTAGAACAAGCAATCCCCAGGTCTGGATGTATTCCAATCTACTTGTTTGGTGATTTATTACCCACTTAGAGATAAGAGGTCATATATATCTGGCAGAGCAGGCCATAGATATGTTATTTTTTTATGTTCAACCAGCAGGTTAAGCAAAAAGAAAAATTACTCAGTGTGTGGAAGGGAGAATCATCCCTGCTAAGCCTTTGTATTCTGACAGTGGGGAGGCTTCCCTGCTGTCAGAATACACTGGTCTGAACGGCCGGCTATACAGCAGTTGGCAATGCCGATCGAACAGGGAAAATCTGACAGGCTGGTTGCATAGATGTCAATCAGCAGAACCGGCCAAATTGCGATGTATGTATGGCCGGCTTTACCATTCCTCGGTTTACAAATACTGCATATGAAGGTGGAATATACTGGGAAGCAGGAGTAATGAAAATTGTTAGACTGCATTGAATCATCAAATGTTGGATGGGGTTTCATGAACACTAATTATTGTTTGTGGTGTGGGTTGTGTTTGCACTGGGATCACTATTATTATTTCTTTTTATTTACACTGTAATGAGGATATGTTGTTTCACTGATGTTTATTTTATCATTCTCTGGAGGGTATGGTGCTAGCATATTTGTTTAATTGCTTGTAATAGCCACGGGAAAAAATATCTTTCCAGCAGCTTGGGGCTAAGGTTGACAATTGTATTAGAGCACAGGTTTTTGGACACTTTTCCAGGATTTATTACACAATGCTATACTCTATGGCTAGGTAGCATAAGAGGCAGAGCAAAGGTAGGACAAGAGTACCTGTGGTTCAAGTAGTAAGAGATGTTTTCAGACGATGGCTGAGACTGGTGCCTTGGCTAGAATGTGATCAGAGGGACGAGGCAAGAGGCTGGTCCAGGCAGCAGGTAAGAGATGTGGTTGGTAAACAGGTCAGTTCAGGTGTCAGGCAATGGACATTGCCAGTAAACATGCACGATTGCATCCAGGTGCCAAACAAAAGATGTTGTCGGTAAACAGGGTCATGGCAGGCAAGTCAAGATTCAGATGCACTAATGGCAGCTAGTGAAGCAAGTAGAGAAATCCATTACAAGCACCAAGCGTAGGGCATGTGAGATTTAACTCAGATGAAGACAGAAGTAGGATCAATAGGAGGCAAATGGGAAGGATAGTGCTACAGGAGGAGCCAGAGGTATGGCTTCATTGCCCTGCAACAGGATGCTGAGCAGCGCAAATTCCTGAGTCATAAGAGGAGTTCCGGGAAGTAGACTGTGTATCATGCATGATCATTGAGAAAAGAGGAGCTGCAGAGAGTTTGTTGTATGAAGTGATTCTTTACAATACTCCCCCATGAGTAGAGGCCTCTGGACTCTTAAGCCTAGTACACAATATTCTGATGAGCGATCACATTTTTCTGTGTCCTTACCGCACAAACACCAACTTATGGGTGGAGGACCCACAAGGAAAGAAGTCCCAAAGAGAACAATCTGCGGCTTATAAAAATGTTTATTGAACACTATCAAGATATCAAATTGGCAAAAACCCCTCCACCCTACACAAAGATAAAACACAATAACAACATTGCCATATCATGAAAACACCCACCCGGGCACTCAGACATGCCTACCACTCACACTGGATATATGGCCTCCTGGATATAAACGTGTGCAGCAAAGCTGCAAATAGGTGAGAATATAAAAATGCAAAAATACACTCCCCCTGAGTAAACACAGGAAGATCATATATCAGCGCATACGATCTATGGGATCATAATTATGGTAGTCCACCAATCTAGGGATGTATGTACTTGATGCTGACACATAGGGGTTTATTTACTAAAGCTGGAGAGTGCAAAATCAGTCTCACTTCTGCATAGAAACCAATCAGCTTCCAGGTTTCATTGCCAAAGCTTCATTGAAGAAGCTGAGGTTAGAAGCTGATTGGTTTCTATGCAGAAGGGAGTCTGATTTTGGATTCTCCAGCTTTAGTAAATAAACCCCATAGTCTTGTGTAGATTGTCTCCACTTTCAGTCAGAACATGTAGAATGTAATGGTAATATCACTAATAGTGGCAGATGACTATGTCACTGTAGACTTGACAGTAATTCCAGCACTGGTAGACAGCAGTCACAGACAGTAGTGACCTATGGGTGAGAATGATAGTGAGAGGCAACCTCTCGCTGCATGCAAGTAAAAAAAGTCAACAGGTGTGCAGCGCTCAACTGAGCAATCGCAATCCAGAAAGTGAATCCCAATACAGTCACGACCTGGTCCAATTGTATAAGCTCACCACTGGTCACTGGTTCCAATCAGGGGCAGACTGACCATTCGAGCACTCGGGCAGTGCCCGAGGTCAGTAGGGGGCCACATGAAATGCCCCTGGTACCTTTTTTATAGGCTTTTTTGAGTGTGGGCAAGGACACAGGGGCCCCATGATCCCCTATTGCCCGGGGGCCCCATGAGTTGTCAGTCCGCCCCTGGTTCCAACAGATCCCGGTCCTCTGTGTGATACCACTGACCTTGCACTCCATGCAGTGATGAGTATGCGTATGACTGCAGCAGCAGGTCCAGTGTGGCGCAGCTGGTGGCTAAAGTCACGTGGGGGTGTTTGAGTGTCCGGGACACGGTCGTCACGACACTGTGACGTCAAC